TGCTTTGACCTCTTCGCGCCGCCCCTGGTTATGTATTATGGGTGTGGGTGGGGTGTGGGTGTAGGTGTGGGGTGTGGGTCTGGATCTGGGTGATTAGCTTTTTTTTATCTGGACCCTCACACCCAACCAATTCCCACATCCCACAGCCACACCCACCCACACCCCACAACCTAACCCTCACCCACATGCCACACCGACACCCACACCGACACCCGCAGCCACACCTACAACCACACCCACCTACAACCACACCCACCCACACCCACACCCACACCCCACCCACACCCACACCCACACCCACATCCACACCCACACCGACACCCACACCCACACCCACACACCACACACCACACACCACCCACACCCACACACCCACACACCCACACCCACACCCTCGTTATCCAAAGATAACAACGAAAGCGGTTACGGCTGCTTGTTAATATTGAGTAGCCATACTTAAGACTGTGTCTCCTCTGTCTTTGATAGGGATAGATTAAACAGTTTCGTTGTTATCTTAGGATAATGATGAATTTGGACATGCTGTCCGATGAGTCCCTTAACCAAGGACGGAACCGGTCACTACTGCTTGTTCATAATGAAACGTTTACTTTTATCTCTCTTGATGAATGTGCTGCTTGGAAATATGATCTGCAATTAACTATCATAGGGCAACAAAATTCAGTACAGATCAATACTCATAAAGTATTACTTCGTTTTATGGTCAAGCACAACACATTCTACTCGAATGGAATAATATTGACAAGATCCTTTTCAAGTCATCAGGTGGTACTGCACATCCACAAAATGGTGCAGGGACAAATGACATACAAGTTGTGATAACTCAGATGAAAATAGGGTTAGTTGTTTGGAAAAGAATTTGTTTTACAAGTGCATTTTTTAAATGCAAACCTTGTTGTATTTTTCAATTATTCTTGAATGATTTGATGATAATCGTTTTCTTTAATCATGCATAAAGCTAACGCCCTTAACGTTTTCGGATGTTTATTATCTATAATGAATAAACGTAACAATTTCAACAAAAATGAGTTGATATCTCAGAAGTAACTAGCTATACAAACTCACTTAATTAGGTAGTTTCTCTTCAACTTCAAAACTTTGTTATAACAAATCAATTAGATGTATAAAACCTTATAGATATACATCGTACATTCAAGAGAATTTTGTATTTTATTTACTGTAACATTATTTTGTAGATTTCAACTAAAGTTTGACGATACATATCGAGATAGTCTCTTACAGCGATTACTGTTCATTCTCGTGTTATTCTGAAGAGCAAAACATTTCATTTCTTTTCATAATCAGTATAATGACTATGTCATATTATAAACATCAATAATAGTCATCTTTTATATTTGCATTTACAAAACCAAATTTTATAAAACAATTCTTCTCTTCATCAATTTGTTCCTAATATTACCTCGATTGTTTTTTTGTGAACGATTCATTTTATAATTAGATTATACTTTCAGATTTGTTCATGGAAATAAGACGAAAACTAAAATGAATATATTCTTACATCGATGATGTATTATCTTCAAATACATTCTAATAACATTTTACTATCATGAATTTCACGATCATTCATGTATAAGTTAACTAATTTTTTTGTTCAAGAAAACCTCGTATTAATGTTGCTGCATTCTCACCATTCACAACTGAGATAACACCTTTTTAGAAAAACCAATCAAATATAGTCACATATTCTACTAATTTTTTTCTATTTTTAATATGAAACAGATTGTTTGATGTCATTGCAAAAGTGAAATAGAAAAGCATTTCTAAAATTCATTAAGCACTTGTTTGTTGATCTGATCTCTTTCAAATATAATGAGAAAGGAACAAATAGTTCTATCAAAAAAATACGAGGTATTTGACACAGGATTCTATGTATTGATAGCGTGAAAGGTAGTTTGATCACTCGATAGTTTTAATCGATCCACAGTTTTAGATTTGGAAATACTCTTTTTGTTGCACAAGGAATTTGCATGATTGATGAATTTTCTACAACTTGAGAGATTCATATTGTTAGACAGATGATAAAATATATGCAGAATTATTATTATTTTTACTATCATCTCAACAAATAACAATAGCAGCTCACTAATAGTGTATATTTGTGTTGAAAAGATGCCTCTGGCATTGAAATTCTGATGAGAACATTCAAAATCTTGTAAATGTCGAAAGAGTATTAGATAAACATTGCAGTATACTTTCTTGTTTATTTTAATATGTTATCAGTTGCGTAAATAATAAGAAAAATACATGTTTGAAATGTTATATTGTGCCATTGAGAATGTTTAAAGTCAGAATAAGGGAAAGAAGTGAATAGGAAAAAAGGAAAAAAATATGTATAGAGACTATTCATCTCTCTAAAACATGTTATTTCTCAAGTTTTTGTTATTTTATTATTCAATTAACAGTACATAAACCATTTGATACTGCACATTTTTTCGATAGTCTTCCTGTTCTTGTTTCTTTTTCTTCTTCTCATACTCTCTTTGTCTCTTCATTCTTTTACTCTTATTCATTTCTTTTATTTTTCTGTTTATTTTTGTTACTATGGATATCTACAATCCTAAAGCTCAGTTGTTTCTTTATGACCGACATAGTCATAGAGTTAAAGAAGGCTAATAAATATCTCGCCATTGAATGTCACTTTACAGTGATAAAAAATATCATCTGTATAGCAATAGCTCTGTTAATTTATTTATTGTGAATCTGTTTCTTCTGTTATTATTCTTCAGATGACATCAACGGAACAACAAGCTATATCTTCTGATCGTGCTCGTAGTCTATCATCAGTCAATGTTGATCTTCTCGAATGTCCTATTTGTCATGATTTACTATGGAACTCAGTTGCCTGTCAAACATGTGAAACAGCTTTTTGTTCAGTATGTATCTGTCAATGGCTTGCCAATAATCCAGAGAAATGTCCCAATCGATGTAAGATATATATATCGAACAAAAATATCCCTCATTCATTGTTAAGCTACTTGCTCAATTATAGTTTGCTTGTTATTATCAATCAAAAGGTTGTCAACAGGTAATCAGATAATGATCACATTATTAATACTACACACGCCTTTTTCTTCATAGGTCATTCCGTATGAAGTACTAGAGAAACATAAGTTCGATTGCAGCTATCAGCCTCAAAAATGATCTGGTTGTCGATTAGAAATATTGAAAAAAGGTTTCGATAATCATACGAATAGCTGTGCATCGATTGAATTAACTTGTCAAGAGTGCCAACTTGTCTACAAAAGAGGTGATGCTGACACGAAACATACAGAAAACATTTGTTTAAGAGAACAAACTAAAGAGAATAAACGCCAGATATGACAACTTATCCTTCAACTACATGAAATGCGGATATTGAGTAAGTGATTTACTATATTCAATTCTGAATGAAGATAACGAAAGAAGTATGAATTTAGTTCCTTTACTAACAAGAGCAAGGATTACATTCAATGATTTATCCATAGCTGATGAGAAATCTCAATCGATTCCAAATATGTATAGAAGGTTGGAATGGAATAAAATTTATTATGCACATGTATTACATCTGAACGAGAAGCTTCCGAAAAGTGTAGATGTCACTTCTGTTACATCTGGCAATAGTCTACATGTAGCCTGGTTCTCGAAAAACGCATGGATTAGCGGTGAAAATTTAAATGAAACATTTACTTTTGTTTCTCTTACTGCATATGGTGCTTGGAATGATGATATGCAATTAATGGTTACAATACATCGAAATTCAGCACTGATCTACACATATACAACAACTTATTCTTTTTGACTGAAATGACATTGATAAAGTCACTCTTCAACCATTGGATGGCAATTGACGTCTAGAGACTAGTGCTGCAGTAGGTAGAACACACGTTGTACTAACTCAGATGACGATCCGTTGAGTTAGTTACATAAAAACTGTTTTATGAGAAAATCTCTTAAGTGAAATTGTTTTGGTATTTATATTGATGTTCTTTACTTATTACTTAACGATTTTTATTTTTAATTATATGAAAAACAGTTATTATAGTCGAACTTCTTCACTCAATTTTTGTCATTAATAAATAAGAAATAGTTTTAGTAAAGCATCTTATAAATATCTAAAACAAATATCGATATGAATGTCAGTTGTACAGTACTGGCCATAAGTCCCGACTTCTCCCTTAAATATAATGTTTTTCCCATTGTTTTAACCTGATATTTTGAGTGTGTTTGAGTCTTGATAAACTTTGATCGCATACACTTCCCTCCTCCCCGCTCTCAATTGGTCGACATACGGCGAAGTTATTAGTTCTTCTCCACTGACATCTTGTGAATGTTATATCTCTTTCATTTTTCGACTTTTACTTTTCCATGGTCCTCATTCGATAACCCATTTGTACAGCTATCTCCAGTCCAAATTTGACAAGAAATAATGAAGAAATAACGGAGATCCACTCTTTACATTAAAAACTTCCGCCAAGTAGGAAATCCTAGTATTCAGTGTGATTTCAATAGCTCCAGCTAGACTTGAAGAATTCAGTTAAAAATTTTAGCACTTACTGTTAATCAGTCCTAGAATGCCTGTAGAAATTTCCAGACCTATAGCTCAAAGTAGACCTGAGATAGGACCGTTGTCAAAGTGCATCATGACATAACTTACCATTCAATTACATCTCGATATTAAGGCACGAACAGGACAAAATAAAATAGAGAATTGTACTTTCTTCCGACAAACTCAGTCAAATATGTTATAAAGATAAAGTCTAATGGACTGGCTTCTAACCTAAATACGAAAAGGTAAGAAATGCAAGAAATTTGCCAGCTGATACAATTTGATTACATTGATCAGGAATATCGAATAACGTTGTTAAGTTAAGTGTAAATTCACTATCGTCAGTAAATCGAAGAGCATTACAAGTTAAGAAAAAACAAAAGAAAAATATTGAATGAATGTTTGATGGAATAACATGATGATAAAAGAATGAGAAAGTTGTGCTGCTTATGAGAGATTTTATTAAAATATTAG